AGGATTAAGGTCTGCAAACTCGCCAAGAAATCTGGGATTAAGGTCGATTTCGACCTTAATCCTGTCAGGGATTGAGGATAGAATTTCAGGCCCAGTCTTGATCATTGGTGGAAGGAGAGCGGAGACAAACCAGATACGGAGCTGTCTTGAGTCTGTACTCTCATCGCTTGGGTGCGAGACTTCCTACGTGGAGAGTCTGGATAGGGTCACTCCGCAACTGCTCTCTGGCGTCAACCAGGTGGTACTGCTTGCTGATCTCGACCAATCAATTCTGGAAAACATTAGCTCAGCTAGTCTCTCCGGTCTTCAAACACTTATGAGCCCTGGACGGTCGTTACTGTGGCTTCTAAATGGATTTTACGGAGGCGCAAACCCATATCATTCAGCTTCAGTTGGCCTTGCACGAACGGCCAAAAGCGAGACCCCAAATTTCCGGCTCCAGTTTCTCGACATCGACACCCTCATTGGAATGGGAGAGCTGGTTGCAGAAACGTTCTTGCGATTTGTATACCCAACAGAGCATGAGGATGAGGTTTCGTCGACTCTGTGGATGACTGAAGACGAAATTACGATTATCCAAGGCAAAGTCATGCTCCCCCGAATTAAGCCAATCCCAGACATGAACAGGCGTCTCAATTCTAGGAGAAGAGCTGTCAACTACTCAGAGAACATGGCGCATGCGACCGTGGAATTGACCTTGAATGGGGAAACCAGGCCTTTCGTATATGAAGCATCCTCCTCTTCCTCTTCCTCTGGTACAGTGATGAGTTCAATCAGCCATCAAGAAGAACACAAGGTTGCAGTCACAGTCTCGTACAGCAGCGTGTGGGCAATCAATGTCAGCAAGGACTCGAACCTGTTCCTCGGTATCGGTACTATCGCCTCTGGTCGACGAGTGTTGTTCTTCTCTGACATGTGCTCGTCGAATGTAATGATACCGCCATCGTGGACCCAGGACCTTAAGCCGACAACAATGTTGCCCGACGATATGGTTCTTGCTCTGTTCCTCAGAGCAATTGTTGCTTCGCGGATTGTCAATTCTCATCGTGAAAGACCAGTCATTATCATTGAGCCAGACAATCTGCTCATATCAGCCATTTCGCTTCTACAGCCGGCCAGCGATGGGGTTCTTGTGATTAACGTGACGAGCGATTCTAAACGAGCCCAGGATGATCCACGGCTTACATTCATACATCCACGTTCCACAAACCGCGCAGTAGCAGAGGCTCTGCCTTCTGCTTCTGGAGTTGTTATCGATATTTCTGGCAGCTCCAAATCCATCCTTGGGAACCTCTTGCAGGAAAAAACGTGCTTCGCTACATTCAAACTATTCGCAGCTACCCCACAGCACATAGAAAAGGGAAGTATACTTGACACTATTATAACCACAGCCTTCACATCCTTCCGTGAATTAGGGTTGAGTGCTATCAAAGGACAGGTTGAGACTGACAGCCTAATGATAAAATCCCTTAGTGCGTTAGTTGGCCAAGGTTCGCAGCCATATCTTACAATGGTGAATTGGAGGAAAGAGCCTATGGTTGCACTGAAAGTACGACCGCTCAAGCTGGATTTCTACCTGAGTGGGGCCAAGACCTACTTACTAGTTGGCTTGACAGGCGAATTGGGAGAGAGTTTATGCCGACTCATGGCCGCACATGGAGCACGTTACTTTGTTGTTGCTAGCCGGTGAGCCACACTTCCATCAAGTTTCCCTTGGCGTGACAGCCTGAACTAAGTCGATAAATAGGACCCCAGAGAAAGCTCAGTCATGGGCAGAGCCATTGAGAAAATTGGGCCTCACAATACACCTTGCTTCTTTGGATGTTACAAGTCTTGAAGCAGTCCAAAAGGTCAAAGCGGATGTAGAGAGTTTTCTTCCTTCGATCAGTGGTGTCGTCCAGGGTGCCATGGTTCTATCAGATGAACTATTTGGATCCATGACTCTAGAAAGCCTGCAGAGGGCTCTCAGGCCGAAGCTGGATGGGTCTCGAAATCTGAGCTGCGTCTTCAATGAGCCAACGCTCGACTTCATGATCATGCTTTCCTCTCTGACCTGCGTGGGCGGTAACTCGGGTCAATCAAATTATACTGCTGCTAACTTGGTAAGTGATTTTCGCTTGCATCATAATACCTTGAGTCCTAATCCATTCTAGTACATGTCCGGCCTAGCTGCGCAACGCCGCAGTCATGGTCTAGCAGCTTCTGTTCTTGACATTGGGGTTCTCTATGGTATCGGATATGTCAACCGTATTGAAGGGGCGGAGATATATGCGAGCCTCCGAAGGCAGGGATATCTGCCCATCTCCGAGCACGATGTCCATGATATGTTCACGGAAGCCGTGGCCGCCAGTAAGCCAGAATGTGGATCCCTCGTGCAAATATCCACGGGCTTGAATCGTTGGAGCCCTAACGCACAAAACCCACTTCCATGGCACAGGGATGCACGATTTTCGCATCACAGAGCATTGAACAACAAGGAATCTGCAGGCAAGAATATAGCTGGCTCGTCTGAAACGATCAAGGGACTTTTGAATGCAAGCCAGGACAAGGCAAGTATCGTCGATCATTTGCAGAAGGCATTCTCTGCTCATTTGGAAACTATGCTACATTTGGCGCAGGGAAGCCTAGACCCGACCGTTGCCATCATCGACTTGGGGGTTGACTCGCTCGCCGCCGTGGAAATCCGGACCTGGTTTTTGAAAGAGGTAGGAAAGGATATGCCAGTGTTGAAAGTGCTGGGCGGCGCTTCGGTTGCGAACTGTAAGTCTTCAGTATCCACAGTGTCGCGTTGAGACGAGGGCGCTAATCCTCGTGAAGTGTGTGAGGAAGTTGGTGCCGACCTTCTCGCCGAAAGAGAACCTGAACAAGATGAAGCGAGCGAAACACCGTCCGAGAGCAACTCCGGGCTGGCTAGGGATTCAGACTCGGATCCGTCAGACCTGTTTGATAACACCAATCTGTCACATTCTACGGATCTTACATCGGACAACGAAGATGAGACGACGCCGTTTGAGCAGGTCTATCCAATGTCTTCTAGTCAATCCCGAATGTGGTTTCCATATCAGCTACTGCAGGACAAGACAACCTACAACTGCACCACATCGTATCGTTTGCGAGGCCCGCTCAACATCGACCGCTACGAGGTCGCACTCAAAACTGTCATTCATAAGCATCAGGCTTTGCGTACTGGCTTCTACACCGATCCATACACGGGCCATCCAATGCAGGCGGTAGCAAAATCGTCCCCTTTTCAACTGAAGAAGGTTTCCAATGCTCGTGAAGACGTGGACTCTGCGCGAGAGACTCTCATGATTGCTAAGCATATCTATGATCTTGAACGCGAAGATGTCTTCATTGCAACACTTCTGGAATACAGTTCGAATTATCATGAGATCATATTCGGTTATCACCATATCATCATGGACGGCGTAAGCTGGCAGTTGTTTCTACAAGAAGTAGAACGCTTCTATGTCAATCTGCCCAAGCGTGTATACCAGTCCATTGATTACCTCGACTTTGCAGTCAAGCAGCGAGCAGACCTAGACTCCCCAGCCATTCAAACCAAACGTCAGTTCTGGAATAGTAGCTTCGTCGACCTGCCACGACCTATTCCGTTGTTTCCGTTCGCCAAAGTCACAAACAGGAAGTCGCTCAACCGATACGAAGCTACAGAAACCTTCATTGAGTTGGACCAGGCTCTTGCGGCCCGCATCAAGACAGTTTCGGTTGATAACAAGAGTACGACTTTTCATTTCTACCTTACGGCTCTTCAGATTATGGCTCGTAGGTTGCTGAAGATTGATGATGTCTGCATTGGCATCACAGACGCCAACCGCTCGGACCAGGCCTTCATGGAAACAATCGGCCTGTTACTTGACTCACTTCCGTTGCGTTTCAAGTCCGATGGCACTGTCGATCAAGAATTCAGTGCCTGCCTTCAGAGCACACGAACAGCTGTTTACTCAGCCCTCGGGAACAGTGGCGTACCTCTGGATGTCATCTTAGACGACATTGGCGTGGAAACGTCCACATCCCATCTGCCGCTATTCCAGATACTCGTCAACTACCGTATGGGGGCGATCAAACAGAAGACTCTCGGCCCAGATATCGCCTTCGAGTACTTGGCTTATGAGGACGCACGGCACCCGTTTGATTTCATTTTAACTATTGACGAAGAAGACGGGCGTGCCGGTTTGACGCTGTCCATGCAGGACTATCTCTACGATAAAACCTCTGCCCATACGTTCCTGAAGACATTCATCAATCTTCTCGAGGTTTTCTCGGAGTCACCAGAAACACATGTGTCGGACTGCCCCGTATACCCCGAAGCGCTGGTCAAGCAAGCGGTGCAACTGGGTATTGGCATGGAATCACCACTTGATTGGCCGAGTACATTGACTGCACGCGTCGGTCAAATGGTGTCGCAATATCACGAGCAAATAGCCATCAAAGACGGCGACATATCATACACCTACTCCGAAATGGCACGAACAGTCGACGCTGTCGGCCAAGCTCTGCTAGATCAAGGTGTCACTAGAGGGTCTCGGGTTGGTGTGGCAAGCGGCCCTTCCGCAGATGTGATACTGTCACTACTTGCAATACTTAAGATTGGGGCCATATATGTCCCGCTTGATGAGCGCAATTCCGACAGCAGACTGGCCAACATGATCTATGATGGATCGATCTGTATTATTATCCACAACAAAGCCACTGAGTCACGCATCCCCACGCTAATCGCGGCTAACCCTTCTACCAAGTCGATAAAAATCTCAGACATAAAACTGGGAGAATCCATCCAATTAAGTGACAATGCGGTTGCAGCGGAAACAGCTTTGATTATGTTCACCAGCGGTTCGACTGGAAAGCCAAAGGGCGTTGTGCTCTCAAATGCCAGCTTCTTGGCTCATATCAAGGCAGCAACCACGGCCATGAATCTTGGCAGAGAGATAGTCTTGCAGCAAAGTGCTCTGGGTTACGATGCTTCGCTGGCGCAGATTTTCTACGCATTGGCAAATGGTGGAACTCTCATTGTGACCAGCAACCGGCAGGAATCAAGCAACATCGCCACACTCATGCTTCGCGAAAAGGTCAGCCTGACCCTCATGGCCCCTTCAGAGTATTCCGTCATCTTCCAGTATGGAAAAGACTCGCTCAGTCGTTGTGAGTCGTGGCGGATCGCTATGTGTGGTGGAGAAGCATTTCCCTCGGAGCTGCGCTCGTCCTTCAGGGACCTGAATGTCAAGGGCCTAGAAGTCTGGAACGCATACGGTCAGTATATTATTGTTGTATGAAACGAATTGGGGTTGCTAATACGATGACTAGGCCCTACTGAGCTATCAGTCGCATCAAACATGGGCCAGGTTGATTGCAGCGAAGTGGCAGTCAACGCTAACGCGACAGTGCCAATTGGCAGGGTCATCCCGGGATATAACGTCTGTCTGGTTAATGATGCAGTGCAGCCGGTTCCTCTGGGCTGCTCTGGTCAAATTGCTGTCAGCGGACGGGCAGTCGCAACGGGCTACCTCAACAATAAGCCGCTAACGGATGAAAAGTTCGTATCCGGAGCTTCCTCACGATTCCTGAAAAGCGCTGGCAAACCGACGGCAAGATGGTATCTGACTGGAGACACAGCCCGCATGGATCTAGATGGTCAGTTGACGTATATGGGACGCATAGAAGACGATTCTCAGGTCAAATTGCGGGGCATACGCATTGAGCTTACAGAGATCTCGAACTCGATACTAGCGACAGCAGCTGGTGTCATTGCACAAGCTTCGATTAGCTTGCGGGGTGAAGGAGAACAGCAATTTCTTGTCGGACACGTCGTCTTTGCTACCGATCGCGTGCCAGAGCAGGCAGAAATGTACCTCGATTCCGTCCTCGCCAGCCTTTCTCTACCGACATATATGCGGCCTGCACGGCTGGTTCCCGTTGCTGCTCTGCCACTGACAATGAGTGGAAAGCTGGACCGAAAGGCTTTGGCAGACCTTCCGATTGCAAATACCGTGGATCAGCGACTGACGAATGTAACCGAACTCACTGCCACAGAGCTTCGAGTAAAAGACGTGTGGTCAGGTATTCTCGGCCACACTGGACTTCGAATCACTAGAGATTCGAGCTTCTTCTCCGTCGGCGGGAACTCACTGCTATTGCTTCGGCTCCAGGCTGAATTGAGAAGAACGTTCGGGATAGACATCAAACTTGCAGATCTGTTTCAGATACACTCTCTAGGGGACCTGGCGCAGAGGATTGGAAGCCCCAAGGCAACACCAGGCATCAGCACCGAAGCTCGCATCGACTGGAACCTTGAGACCGCTCTTCCCCCTTCCTTGCTGAAGACACCCCGAATGACGCCAATTGCCTTCCAACGCTCAGGCCTCGGAAGCTCGCTAAGCGTCATCGTGACAGGTGCTACCGGCTTCCTCGGTACTGCCATCGTCAAAGCCCTCCAAGAGACGCCGCGGATACAAGAGATCCATTGTCTCGCTGTCCGTGATATTCACGGAGAGAATGCAAGGGCCCTTCAACGCAAGTTCTCAAAGGTGCGATTGTATTCCGGAGACCTCGCCCAACCACGTCTTGGCCTCGGTGAGGATGAGGCGCGCCTTCTCTTCGTGGACGCAGCCGCTGTCGTACACAATGGCGCCGACGTGTCCTTCCTCAAGCCATACGAAGCCCTACGCGACACCAATGTTGGATCTACGAGGGAGCTGGTGCGCTTGTGCCTCGACTCTCGTTCGTCGGCCGTGCTGCACTTCGTCTCGACAGCCGGCGTGGGCGCCATCCTTGAGACGCAAGGAAGTGGCAGTGTCCCCGAACTGAGGGCCACGACCCTGAAGGAAACACGCCCGGATTCAGTTGACGGCTACGTGTCATCCAAGTGGGCAAGCGAGGTCTTACTCGAGATTGCAGCTGAGAAGACCGGTCTACCCGCCCGCATCTACCGCCCTTCTAGCATCACTGGTCCAGGGGCGCCGGCCCTCGACATTGTCCACAATGTGATGAATCTTTCACGGAAAATGCGTACGATTCCGCGCATGCAGGGCTGGGCAGGTTGGTTCGACTTCGTGTCTGTGGAGCGGGTAGCCCAGGAGCTTGTCCAAGGCGTCTTGAGGCAAAGGCAACCTGGACCGGTGGAGTTTGTGCACCCTACTGGCGAAGTAGTGCTTCCAGTTGCGGAAGCTAGGAGATATCTCGAGCGCCAAACGGGATACGAGTTCCGTGAAGTGGAGATGGAAGCGTGGATTCAGAAGGCAATGTCGTTTGGAATGTCGGAGCTTGTGGCGGGTTATCTTGGTCAAATCCCAGATTCAGATGTGATGCCGACCTTCCCTAGGCTAGAAAGCACTATCTTCTAGGCGGACATTTTACATGGATGTTTCTTAGAAAGCTAAAGCCAGAAGTAATATAGGGTTCTTCGTATAGGCTATATTTTTTCTCATATCTATAGAATAATGAATATTCTATATTCATTTAGTTAGATCAAAACCAACTATACTTTTCTAGAAAAAAATCCTAGTAAGCTTTATACTAGATATATACCCAACTCAAGCTATCAAGTTTGAATTTGAAGAATAACAAGATTAATGGTAGAGTTCTGTATCATTCGTACTATAGCGTTGAAGGATCTAGACTAGGCTGCTTCTTACCTTTAACGCTATTCCTCTCATTATCGCTTATGCTAAGATTATCTCTCTCGCTCGTTGCAATAATTTCTCCAGCTTTGTATATTCGCTCTGTCTTTAATTCCGTTAATTCCACTTCGCTACCATACCCGTTTTCCGCTATCGCACCCTCCATATACACCGGGCCTTTGGGCCGGCCCTTTCGCCAGTTTGAGGAGATTTGGGCACTATTGACGTCACAGTGTTGTTTCGCGTTACTACGATGGAAACCTTTGGTTGAGCGGGAGAAGGGTGGCGTTCGGGAACTGCCTTGGCCACTGTCGGTGGCAATGCGGTGGATCTTGCGGAGAAGGGGACGGAGCGAGAGGCACGAGATGATCATGATAGAGATGGTATATTCGGCCATGGCAAGAACGTCTTCATCGACCCAGGAAATTAGCTTTCAGAGTTCTATAATATGAAACCTTGCATTACTTACACATAGGCAGGTTGTTCACTACAAGATCCTGCACGGCAAAGCGTACAAGACTAGACGTGATAGTCAAGCTACCAAGCATGAACATGCAAAGCAAACCCGCCTTCTCGCGCCGATATCTGAAGTTCAGGCTCTTGATGACTGGAAGTGGCAAGAAGAATACTGTCATCGAACATCAGTGTTGATAGCAAAGTGTCTAGGTGTATTCTCACTGAAAATCTCGGAGATAATGTTGAGGGACCAAGTAAGCTGGCCCAGTGGCTTTGCGCTGAAAGCAGAGCAAGCATCCGGCTTGTCTGACCAGTTGATAGCTATGTCAGTGCCACACCAAAACGTAATGGCGACATAGGCTGTGATAGCTGCAACTATCACAAAACATACCACTGCCCATAGCCCTTTGCGCATCTTAGGTGACGTCGCCGGAATGATGCGTATATAGAATGCCAGCATGCTGAATTTAGGGATGAACAGTCCGCCGTCAAATAAGTACATTGTGGCGTGTCGGAGCTGCTCGTAGCTTTAGCATTTTGTGTGTTTTAGGAATGAACTACAAGCAGGAGAACACGCACTCTGCGAACATGTTCCGAAGGTGAGATGAAGTTACTCATTTCATTTGCTCTGTATGTAGCAGTGTCGCAAGCAATCAACGCAGTGCAGTTCACGACGGCGAGGCCAAGCCACATGTCGGCTACGAACATTGACGTCGTCTTATTTTGAATGTGCACCCCAAACCGACAACCGGCAAGCATGATACTCGTCACATACAAACACCACTCAATGACCTTCACAGCATTAGACACAGAAACAGGTATGTGCTCGATATGCGACATAGTTGGATTAAACGTACCATAACACTGGTCGGGTCGATCGACATGACTGACAGGAGCCAGTTTGGGGTTTCTTGTTTCGATCAGGTGTTCATCAACGGGCCACTTCCACCTGGAGGAGTGGTAACAAGTGGATATTTGTAGACTCCGTAGGATCAAGTGCAGGACGCATGATTGGTAGCCGTATAGCACATATATACGCTGGTGGTGCTGAAGAGTGAGCCATTTAGGGAGCATCGCTTTCCGGTCTCGGTACCCGCTTCCCCAGGCCGCAGTGGTGGCATTCCATGCAGACTTACTAATAACCTAGTGTTTCGCTTCTCCGACGGTAGGTGTAGGCAACGACCGTGCTTCTGACTGGGCTTGAAAGCTGATTGGAGGGCAGGCAATAGAGTTCGTGGGCTACGCCATACTAACTAGGAGCTATCCTACCCCGAGCACGCAAGCGCGCCCAATTATAGTGGATTGCGACGCTTGCTAGTAGCCTGGCTGCTGTCATTTGCAAGAGGCCCTACTTTGACGAGTTAAGGCACTCCAGCGGTTCCCAGCCCCTGAGACAGACGAGCATGCCAAGGCAGATAGCAAGGTCGAGGCCTGGAAGTCAGGGTTTAGCATTCAAGGTTCCTGACTCGAGGTTCAAGACATGGGATTCAGGCTCAGATTTTGGCATGATTGCCCCTAGCTGCATGGCGATCTTGAATTCGCCTCCTATAGCATGGGGCAAGACTACCTCGCTACCAAAGCCACAAGGTGCCCGCTCGGGTGCACGCCCAATGCTAGTAGAGTCATGCAATGCATGACATCTGACGTGTACCTGGTAATGATAGCCTCTAGATCAAGAAAAGACAATACCAAGGTTTCTAATCAGCCGCACGCCACGCCAAGTATCCAAGCCCTTGGCCTGTGGACAGCTAAGTGCGACAAGGCCCCAAGCTGCTCCAGGGTGCTGTCGCGAACCCAACAAGCATTTGAATTCAGTATTTGGGGCTATATGCTGTGTTCTGTGATGAAGAATAATCCTCATATCTCTTCGCAATGCCAGCTACCTCTGTTGTATTCGCTCGTCCTTCTCTTCTTGTTCTGTCCTTGCCATGCCTTGTTCGCTGCGTTGCAGCCGTCAAGTTTCCTTTGCAAATTCAATCATAGCCCTGACCACATCGACGTCTAACTTCCATCGCTCTTTCTGTGTGAGGACTGAGCTTGTGGAGCTTAGATATCGCTGTTTATGGGGTTGACTCGATAAATATCTACGAACGTTCGAGAAGAAGTTCTTAAGTACAGATTTTCGGGACCAATAGGATAATCCGAGGGTTTTATCTAAATTTGTTCGCGAGGAAACACTTTCACGAGTATTCCTTCTAAAAAGATAAGCAACCTTTTGTCTTCTGGGATCATACCTGTGTGTGCAAAGGATGTCAAGTGATGGAATCAAGACGACGAGGATCAATGCAATGCCCGGAGTCAAACTAGGCTCCAATCTCAAGGCAGGTAAAATATCGGGCTACTTGTGCCAAATCTAACAATTGTACTTGACTGCCCTGGGTCGGGATGATAGTGGCCATAATTCTCGTCCTCAGAGGGTGGGGACAGAAACGCGAGGCTTATTGACAAGCGGAATAAACCATGGCAGAGATATAGCCGAAACCAGCAGTATAGTCGTAAGCAATCATATGAATGTCTACATCTAATTCGGCACACTGATGCCTTATATCGTAACGAAACATCCCACGATAGCAGATAAGTCGCAACCATCATCCTGCATAGACATCGCTATTCATCATGGACTGAGACCACTATGCATTGTGCTTAACGCGGTCTGCAATGAATCGCAAGACGGCCATGTACAACTAATACTAGGATTTGAACATGACCCTTTGCGCAACAACAAGATATATGCAGTGATGGGTACTAATGCGGAGGCAAAACTGCCTTGTTCTAGTTTTCTAGCTAAGCCGCGAATTTAGCCGCGAATTCCCTAATCATCGCGCGACACAGCTCGCACGATTTCCAACCATCGCCCTCTGTAAGGTGGTAGGAGCGGTGAGGACAGAGCACGCTTAATGTCTCTGGCATAGATCCTTGTACCGCTGTCTCAGTCACTGAAGGCTCCGGAGGTGGTAGTGGGGTTTCAGGTTCTGCAGTTTTGCCCTTCTTTTTCTTTTTCTTCTTGCCACCACCCCATATCGAACTCGATCCCCATTCGCCCCAATCATCTTTCTCTTGGACTGTCTCTGGTTCAGCTACTGGCTCAGAATCGATTACAAGTTCGGGCTCTGGAATGGGCTCTTCTGGTGGAGGTTCTGAAATCATTACAGCGACGCCTTTCTTCTGCTTACTCTTCTTCACCGAAGCAACGGTCGCGCCCCAGTCACCCCAGCCGTCGTTTGCGTTCTCCTCTACGGGTAGGGAAGGTGCAGGCTCGATCAGAAGCTCTGGCTCTGGCGCTGGCGACGGTAGTTCTTCGATCCTGAGCCCCTTTTTCCCGCTCTTCTTCTTCATTTTTTTCCCAGTTGTCATCGCAGCACACCATACACCCCAAGGATCGTCTTTTTTCTCTTGTATTTTGCTGAGTCCCACCAATGGATCAACCGCCAGCTCCTCGACAGGTTCCGGCTCTGCTTCGGGAGGAAGAGGGGTCAGTATTCTCAGGGCTTCTGGTCCTGGTTCAGGTAGTTGAGGTTCCTCATCTTTAGTTTCACCTTTTGCTTTCTTCTTCTTTGATCTCTTGATTGTGGTTTCGGCAAATCCCCACGGATCTTCTTCCTTGACAGGTTCCGGTTCGAGGACTGGTTCTAGCACTGAGTCGATTGCTGGCTCAGGCTCTAGCAGATGCTCCTCGACTACGCCTTTTTGCTTTTTCTTCTTGTTCTTGCCAGTATTGCTGAACGAGAACGACCACGGGTCATATTCCTCTTTATTTTCTGGTTCAGGAGCTAGTGCAGGATCTAGTTCCCTAAGAGACTCGGAAGACATCTTATGACTCACTATGCGCGAGGCTGTCGGGTGCTTGCCGTCGCAGCGAGGGAAACATTGTGCTTGTCCAGCTGTATCCTCGACTCCGTCAAGCACTGCATCAGCCCTCTCCTCATTCACGCAATGGCCTTCCCACTTTTGTAGTACATGAGTAAGCTTCTCAGTAAATGTCTCCAGAAGGTGACATGTCATGAACTTGTGCAGCGCACCATCACCCACACTGTTGATATAGACTTTGCGTGTAAAGTACGCGTAGTCGAGGTCGAATTGTTCTTTGACTCGATCCTGCAGGTACTCATGAAACCAAGACCAAGCCATCTTTGGAAACCATGTACACTTCTTCGTAGTGTCTAGAACTTCGTCGAGTGCCATGAGACTACCATGTGTTCTGATCTGCTCTTTTGCGAGGCCTTCAAGGTCCGGTAGTTCGTACATGGTAGCAATAGCAAATACCAAGAGGGCTTGTTTGAACTTGATATGCGTCATTGAGGCTGCGTCATCGCTTTTTGTTTCGAGTGTTTGATATGTGCCGGTGTAAAGGTAGTGAACAAGCGTGTGCCCTGTAGCTGCACTCACTCCCTGGAGGTGAAGTGTTCCTCCAGCATCAGTAGTTGACCATTTCGGCGAACGTAAAAGGTGTTTTGGTACGCAATAGGTGGCAAGCCCTGGGCCGCAATCAATGACAACGGGGGCACAAGCGTAAGGGCTACCGATTATTAGACAAGAGTTTCAGATTCTGAGGAGAGTTAGGCCTCAACCTACGATATCATAGACTCGTCCATTTCCGGCTCTGTTCTTGTGTCTTTTCCTGCTTCACTGCCCACGCTCGTGCTGGGTGTGGCTGGGGGATTGTCTACTACAACAACCTCTTCTCCCGCATGGACGTTGTTCTCGGTGGGCTGATCGAGGAACATGGATGTCTCGATTTCACATGATGCAGTAATTGCAGGCTTGCAGAGAAAGCTAGATCGCTTCTTCTTTGGCATTTCGTGGAAGTAGTAGATAATGCAATACTATGCGAGACAAAATGAAAATGTGGAGACTTGTCGATGCCGGCGAGTATGTTCTCAATAGTCATAGTAGTGGCACCATCATCTTTAGGCAACAATTCTGAACACATACTCGGCACGACGCTAACCCCCAGCAGCAGTGGCCATTCAGCACCCGCCACGAAGCTCGTACAACATCGCAACCCTATACTCGACGCCACATTATGCGATAAGCCATAGGCAGCTCCAATGAAAGTGCAGAAATTTACGATCATGCAAGGAATGACAAGCTACAAGACATCATCGGGATGGTCATTTTCCATCATGGCTTTTGGGACAAGGATGCAATTTCTTCATACACAGGCGGGCCGATCGACAAGGCTACTAATGTCTTACCCTAACGAAGATCTCTCCTTGACTTTGGTCAGCGATTGTAGAGGATGCATGTAATTCCTCTGATGCTTGATCGTTGTAGATGCTATAACTAGAATACCTACCTGTGGCACGGAGCTCAACGTCACTGTCCATGCGTTCCGAACGGCATTGATTCCAATCAGAGGTGGGGTCGACTTGGCGTACTGTGCTTGCAGCTTGATCAGGATCAAACTCACCACACCTATAGTATAAATGTCGCCGTTTACACGTTATCTAGTAGATTTTTGCTCATGGAAATTGCGCTTCACGTTGATTGGCCTGCCGATCATCGTCTCTTCCTATTGAGTAACCGATGCTGATACTTCTGACGCTCATGCCCATGCTCATGCTGTTGCTGACTGCTATTGATGCGGATGGCGGCTCACTGCGATTGGCTGGAAACTCTACCGACAGCTGCGCAGTGGTTCTGAGCCGCCCACCTTCCAAAAATATCTTAGCGTAACAAGTCAGCTACAGGATAACCAATATGATTGGTCAATCTTCAATGTTATCCTAACTGGACTTTTGGAATGCTGCTTGCGGGGGTGAAGCCACAATCGCTAATGACTGTATGTGTACGCATATGAGAGGTCAACATCTTGGAGAGGTGGGCGGACACAAGTGACGGAGACGGCAGGTCGAGAGCAGGTGAGCCACCAGGCCGGATGCCAATGGCTACCGCCATCCAAGCCAAGAGCCGCTGTTGTGTAATGAAACGATTAAAGTCAACCTGCGCCCAGTGATTGTAGTATATTAAACTTCCCCAGCTAACCAACCATACACTAGCTGACATATTATGCTTTCTTCTTTAAGCCTTTCTGAGCTCGGCCGCTAGTCGCTGGCCCAAACACGCATTTTCACTTTGGCTTATCCAGTGTACCGCCAATTTAGATTTTCCGCTCGCTGCCAATCGAGAGTACGTTAACGCATGAAGTACGGCTCTATGTATATCCTACAAGACATTGAGGGTAAGGGTAAAGGGCTTGTCGCAACCAAGAATATCGCCAAAGGTACCCGAATCATTTCGGAACGTCCGGTAGTCACAACACTAGAGGGACAACGGAGCGAGGAGTGGCTAAAGAAACATATATCTGGATAGGTTGAGTCCCTCGATGAATATGAACGACAATCATTCCTCCCCCTGCACGATATGTATCCCTACGAAGAAAACGTTAAGCAGTTTTTTAGTATTATTCGAACGAACGCCCTTCCTATTGAGGAAAACGGCACTGCGGGTGGAATCTTTCTCGAAGCCTGTCGCATCAACCATTGCTGCAATAATAATGTACAAAAGCATTGGAATAAACGTATTGGGCGGCACACTGTGCATGCTTCAAGGGACATCGTCGAGGGTGAGGATATTACGATATACTACCTGGATCTCGACGGTATCCGTGATGTTCACCGCCAAAAGCTGCAGGACAAGCTTGGGTTCTTGTGTGCATGCTGTGTTTGCTCCTTGCCAGCAGAGGAGAGCGAGGAAAATGATCAACGCTTGAAGAGGATTCAATACCTGGATGACCTCGTTGGCCGCGAATGCATGGCAATGAACTTTTCCGAACGAGTCCTTCGCTATGTGGACGAACACATCCAACTTCATGATAGACAAGGGCCAGATGATGCTGGTTTACCGAGGGCATATCTCGATGCTGCTCAGATCGCTATCGCCAATGGTGACCTTGCGAGAGGACGAATATTTGCGGAAAGAGCAGTAAAGGCATGGCGCATAGCTTCCGGTCCCGACAGCAGCGAGGTGATCGAGTACGCGGCATTAGCACGAAACCCCGCTACGCTTTCGCTCTATGGTTTATCAATGAAATGGAAGATGTCATTGAAAGATGTTCCTTCGCAGTTTCATTCTACAGACTTCGAGCACTGGCTTTGGAGAAGAGATAAACCAAAGGAGATACACCAATCGGGACAATTGACAAGTCTTCGCAATCAAACATTTTTTCCTAACTTCTCCGCTCTTCCATACAGCAGCTTAAGTTCTCCAGGGCTTCATCGAGACACTAAAGACCCCTATCAACCCATGCGTCATTGGTGCTTCCTGGGAGAAATTACCAATTCCATCACGCTCCATCATTTCGAGCTGGAGCTTGCGGATATCAACGACAAAAGAATATCTCTACACTTCAATACGATTGGTCGAGGCAGTGAACTTGATATAGCGAGTGTTCAAAACGGGTGTACCGTCGCAGTTCTGTATGCGGAACGCCACACGTTTACATACGGAGACACTGGCATCAAACTCCAAGACCCACAAATGCTGAAGGTATACAAAACTCATCCCCATACCCAATACTCTTTCACGTACACTGACGTGATCGAACATCACAAAGATCTTTCCAATAGCGTTGGATAAGTTGTTGGAACTAAGTGACCGGATTCAACAGTACTCAGGTGCCATGAACCAGATCAAAATGTGCCATCGGTGCGACAACAAGACCATATTACTGAATCGATGTGGAAAATGTTCTTTGTTTTGGTACTGCGACTATGTAAGACCACCATCTCCCGAGAACATTAAAAAAAAGCCTGACATCTTCTTACTAGGCCTGCCAAAAGACTGGGTGGGTCGAGAGGGCCCATAAGACAGATTGTAGAATTTTGAGAGATCCCGATCTACGTGGGTTCATCACCCTGGGATAGGGAAAGCTTGTTAGCCGTACAAAATTTCCTCTTGATGTCAGCAAAACTGCCTAGGCTGGGTTTGGACAACAAAATCTCAGTTGTCTTATCTTGCTTCGAATAGCATCTTGATAGAGAGCGATGGATGATGTTGCATTGATGAGAGTATTACTCCCTGTACAAAAAATGCGTTTATTGTAGCATTGCATTTATAAAACAATATTAACTGCTGGATTTTATTAGCTACGCTGCGGCAATCATATCGAGTGCAGATAAAGCAATAGCTATTTGGGTCATACAACCGAGGTTTCTTAACTTCAAGCTAGCTCTGCCTCAATAACACTTTCTACAGAGTGGGTTGGCCTCCAGATGTTTAGTACCTTTAATCCCGCACTTTCCACCAGCGCCTGCCACTCAGCCTCCGTCCTTTCCTTCGCACCAAGGCAAGCCATCATCGTGATATCGGACGTTGTCACACGAGCGAGCGGCTTCGCAGAGCTAACCAAACTTTCGTGAATGAGAAGCTTCGAGTATCCGGGTTCCATAGCTTCCGCAAGGTGAGAAAGGATCTGCTTCGCCTGTGTGTCTTCCCAGTCGTGCAGCACGTTGTGCATAAAGTAGACACGGGCACCTTTCACGGGCTGTGGTTCAAAAAAGTCATGAGGGTGGATGGAGATGGTGTCGTCAATAGTCAACTCCTTGAGAATATCGGGCAGGTCTTGGAGCACTAGACTGCCCTCCGGGATGTCAGGGTGTCGCAGATGGAATTTGGTGAGGTCGTGGCCCTTACTACCACCGACATCAACGACTAGGGGCCGGTCAGACTTGGACTCTTTCACAAGAGTCTCAGTTGGGTAAATCTCAACCCAGGGCGTTAGGTTGTGCCTGGAGTGACTCTCCATGGCATCATTGAATTCTCTTGCGGCAATAGGGTTCGCGCTAAGGGATTGGAACAGGTTTTCATCTGAGCCTTTCATGAACTGCCAGTTGCAGTCGTTGGGGTTATTGGGGACCTTATATCCCGTCTTCTTGAGGTAGGCTGGTAAAGTCCTGAACATGGGAGAATTTACGAAGCCATAAAATTCACCATAGACGTTGGCGAGGGCCTGATCCTCAACGAGAGCGCATACCCACGGTGTAGGCTTATAGCTATCCTCGGCGGTCTCGATGACAAGATTCTGTCCAGAAATTTGCCGAATCATGCGTCCTGCATTATCGTCAGAATGCTCGCCATGCGTTAAGCAGAGCAGAGATGTAACCTACGGATCAGCACTACATCGACACCTGTTAATTCGGCCAGTTCCGTGCAAGTCTTCTCTCCGCCTCCTGTCTTGATCCATTTGCTGAAGACACCCGCATCAATCAACGTCTTGATGCATGCATTAGTGGCTGGGTTGACCCAACAGTGTTGCCAAACAATGTCCCACGGCTTATGTACTTTGCTTAAGGCCAGGGTCAGCGCCTCCATAGCACGGACGCGCTCTGCTTCGTTAACGAAGGAATTCGCGTCGAGGCCCTCTAGGGCTCCGATAAGTTGGTCTGCGGATGCCATGTTGGAAATGGAAATTAATTTTCGGGAAAAGATGCACGAACAACGGAAACCACACGCGGTAAATCATTTAATAAAGGACAATATTTTCATCGGCCGTGAAATTCTGGCCATATTTACCGGTTGACGAGAGGGTTTCTAGTACTATAGAAGTTAGTAAATTTCTTGTAATAGATAAGCGCGTACTAAGATCCATATTTATTCTACGTGCTGTTCCTGATAGGTAATCTGTCCTTAACGACTCTATGTAACCTGTATGGCGAAACTTGTACAGTATCATCTGGTCACGCGGTTACTCGATAGTGTAATTCGTCCCGAATTACATTGTAAAAGCCGCAAGATTCAATTCTATGCGAGTTGAATTAGTTAGCACTAATCAATTGACCACACGGTATCGGGAATGTGGGTAAGCCTTTTATGTATACTTTTGTCAGATATGAGATAGTTCGGATGATGGTCACAGGCATAATCTGGGTACGAGGCAGAGTACCCGGATCCTATAATTAGCCAATCAGGACGCGCCAAGAAAGGCGCCTGAGCCCGACGTAATTAGACCACCAAGCCCCTCAGATAGCGGCTTGAGGACGAACAATCAATAAATCATCTCCACCATTATTGAACACCTATTAAATCTGACAACTTTATAGAACATCTTAGATCAAGTATAGATAATGATATAGTAAAACCAAAATCTTTTGGCACTATAGTTAAGAACAACGTTAGTGAATTGATTATTATCTCAAAACTCATTTGCTATTAGTAATATTCGAAATAAGAAATCTAATTCCTTACGGAAAGATGTCTGATAGTAGTTGATCAGTAGTAGCACAGATATACGTCGCCATGCGATTCGCTAAACTTGTTGATCCTCAGCTGGATATTCCAAAATCTTAGTTGATGATAGTTAGAGATAATGGAATAAGCTTACTGTTACGTGATTATGTGTACGGATACCCCGCATTTTCCTCCATAGGCGTGATAGTGCATCCGCCGCAAAGTACTGCATCTTCAACTGGTACGGCACGCAGAACACGCACATCAGCCACGACCAGATAGCCACCAATGTGCAGTACATTACGGACAAGTGCTGGGCGCGGGGCTCGTCTGCCGGGTTTTTATAAGTGTAGCGCGGCTTGCGCCTGCGTCGGGGTTCTATGGAGTTTGGCTTGCTGATGGGTGTTCACCCGTGGTTGTAGGTATGGCGGCCTCGCGAGCACGTACAGCGACAACGGGCTTTCGCTGGACGGTTATGCTGTCTCTTCGCATGCGAAGTGTCCAGGCACTTCGACTGTGAGAGAGTGCAAGGCTAGACAGGAGGTGTAGCCCCACTGCATATTTCTGATCAACGCAAGAAAAGCTGGTGAGAGTGCCGGTGTCGTGGCTTAGTCGAGCCTTGCCACTGTCTCGCCTTATATCAAACAGAAACAACTGGGTGCCTAGAGCTCGGGCCTGAAGGTTGTAGGTCCTAGAAGGCAACAGCACATAGGAAGTCTAGCAGGCATCTGCCATAACTCACTGACACTCACTATATAAGACAGCCCACCTTATCACTTAGAATAGAGATTCTGTCCAGCGGCGGAAAGGACAGCGGCGACTGGTCAATTAGCGGACCAGAAGACGCAAGAACACTGTGCTTTGGAAGACACTCCCGCGAATAGATGGGATTGGGTGGTGTGACAACACCATAAACCCCGGGCCCCATCCGTCCGCATGCCCCATGGGAGGATTTTAGATAGGACGTTAAACCTGAACAAACAAAAAAACCTAGAATAAAGAAGATTAGAGCACTACCCTAACTCTACTAACAGGATTAAGAGAAGAGAGCTCTGATTAGAGAAGAATGGTCACGCGGATATGATCAAAACTAGCAGTATATCATGTTTATTCAATATTCCTTTCTTCTCTAGCAGCTCTAGCCGTGGGGACAGCAAAAAACGTAACAGATATTTTTGGATCCGTCGGATTGACAGGAGCCGTCTACGCAATGGGATAGGGAGGCATCGCGTGCAGCGGCTGCGCACCAAGTGTTAGAAACGTTGCACTTATCCGTCACTGCACCAGGCTGGTTACATCCCTAGCAATACCAATCAGTAAAAGGCAAAGTTTGTATGAGTCTAGTTGCGTACATCGCCAGTACAAGTCCGAATATCTTTACAACCATCCAATCCAGCAACTTGTGTCACGAGGAGAAGTACAGTGGCGATAGGAAATATAAACATTTTAGATGATGATACAAGAGTAATAAGTAAAGAAGACGATTTGGATACAGTTATAATCAAGTAGAGTAGTTGATATTTATATACGACTCGGTAAAAGAGAGTTCGTACTTTAGACGGGAAATTTAATCTGTTTCGCACATGGATCATGTCTCCGCTCACATAAGCTCACTCGGCTTATCAAAACTAACAGTGCTAGTCAAAGTCAGTTTAATATTGGAAATCAAGTCTTTCAACTCAGAATTATCGAATGTCTTGATATTGAACATAGTCGGTGCTGAAGCTGTCACGATTTTGAATGTTGTTGATAAATTAGTTCCTGATTCAATTCCTCGTTTCTCTTGCGCTCAGCACAATACACGGTCAGGCTTCCATGTAATGTGGACCATGGACGGGGAAGGTTGGAAGGGCTTGGAGATGTATCGCTTTAAGCACCTCCCAGGCAGTGGATTGGGCATCAGCTCAAGCTGACGTGCCTACAAATCGTAGCGTCCAGCTGTGGGCAGGCATTCCCCAGAACCCTAGATCCGGCTAGCTCTAATAAGTATCTATCGCGCAGCCTAGGATAAGAATTGCGTCCCAGACATATTCCTGGCCTTAGAGCTACGTGGCGGTGTCGATTCGCGGCGCTCAGTACAGCTGCGTGTCATTGCTGTTTTGATCATCATATGTATTTGGTCGTTCTAATAAATCACAGAATCTTTTTCACACAACTGAATGTTTGAAGACGGACACCAGAGTAACTGTTAAGAACTAAACACTAGCTTCCTCCTGGAAATCAGCTTGTTCGCCACGGTCACGATAATCTCGCGTTTAGCATCCTTGTCCTTACCCTCTCCTTCTCTTGGTGCCGTCTCGAAAGTATTCCAAACTTCAATGTACTTATGATCGGTGTCCTTGGTGGTGTAGATTGCATGAAATGCTTCCGCCATGCGATCACGCGTTTTCATAGCTAGAAAATCATCCAACGTGACGCCCTTGCCGTGCTGATTCATCGCATAGCGATGATAGGCCGAAAACTGCACGCAATATAGTACCAGAGCAGCCAAACCTGCCGCCAACGCCGTCGCGACGCTCGAGCCGCTAACTAGGCTGCATTTCTCAAATGGCACATTGCCAGGCCGGTCTTTGATGACCCGGTCGCCAGGGAAGATGAAGTCGACATGCGAGGCCCGAGTCCAGCGCCAGGCGGTGCCCCATGCTGTCGCGGCACCGATCTTGAAGCGTGTTGGGTTGGCAGCTGGATGACTCCCATC